ACGCAGCATGATAGGCTTGCAGGGTTTCTGTGCCTGAACATGTGTGATAAACTTCCTCTGGCCTGGAGCTCTGCCCGTGAGCTCCGATCCTCTGGCTACTTCACACGTTTCAACACCTGGTCAAACACAGCCCCGCATTTACCTTCACTGCCAGCGGTTTATCATCACCACAACGCATGAGTTCCTCTAGCGGGGTGATTGGTTTCACCAAATATCTACCTGCAGACCTCTAAAGAGCACAAATCTGGCCTAACCTGCCCACGCTGTTCTGTAATATTCAAGCACACCTATTCATTCACACTGGGATGATATCTCTATGCAGATGACACTGTACTTTACTCTGCTAACCCTGTTGGTTTATGGCTAGAAATTAGTGCTCGTTGGGAATAAAACCAGATTAGTGTGGATTTTCAGAACTCGATGGTGGGTTTCAGATTATTTTAGTGTTTCTACATTAAATGAAAACTTTGCTAAAAGAGTAAGAAATTATTTTAAAATCGATCAAAGAATCAACAGCAATAGTGCTTTCATCACTTTCTCCTCCTTAAACATTGTTATCCAAACAGTGATAGAATGTATTTACTGTACTTAAGTACAATTTTTTTTGTATCTGCACTTTACTTAAAGGGACTTTACGGACTTTTGAATTTTTACGCTCGCGATTGCCCCCTCAGGCCAAAAGCGTAACGGCAGCTTCAATAGTAGGCACGTGCACGAGGCGCGCATGCTGTACGTGCACACTCCTTAATGAAAATAACAGCTGAGACAGTCCCGTGTGTGTGTGTGTGTGTGGCCCAGAGGACAGAGAACAGGAGAACGTGCAGCTAATTAATTAAATAATTTGGTTCTGTACCTTTCTCTTCAGCACAGCCAACAAAGGTTTAAGATGGGTCAGTCCTCCTGCATGCTCAGATCATTCCCTTCCCTTGCTTGAAAAATTGTTCCAAAATGAAAGTTGAACCCACATCTTTTTTATCTGTGAATTCAATGCCGTTCTGTGAGTCTCAAATAAAAATTTGGGCATCTTACTGTAAAAAAAATATACCATTAATGTAAAAAATAAACTCTACATGAACTAAGTTCACATCCAGAATCCAACTCAGGTCTTCAGCATGGGAGTCAGACATCTTACAAGGTGAGCTACACACTAGTAACATTCACAGTATCTGTAACTTTTATATGCTTGATGACAGCTGAAACAACGTCAAACCAAAGAACGGTTCAAAGTGAAAATGGCTATTTTGTTGTTAATTTGCAGGAAACATCTAGAAGAAAGTTCTACAGAAAGTAGCTAAGGGTCCTCAGAAATGTAGCTAGCTTTGTCACTAGGCGTTAGGAACAGCGACAAAGTGGCACTGCCTCACTCTCTGCTGCTAAAGCTATGGATAGCAAATGCTACGGGCGATGCCTGAGCGTGAACGCGCATGAAGCAGCCTGCTCGACCTGAGCATCTCTCTTTTTCTGTGATTTTACAGAAAAACAGGCAATCACAGTAAAAATGCCAGGGCTCATTCTACAGGGCCAGGGCATTGCAGGAGAATGTATGAAGAAGACATTTATTATTTCTATACATGTTTTGGCTGTCAAACTTCCATAATGCCCCTTTAAAGAACTTTAATTATCCTTACTTTTTTAGTCCACTAATACATTTTCTAAAATGTACTTTAATGTGCGTCTAGACCCCCCATCCCACCCCAATGTGACAGCATACTTCTACATACACTGAGCATATCTAAATGTTAGGTAAATACTTTTACTTGAAATACTTTTATTTTTAAGTACACTTTAAAATGCATTAATGCATACTTTAATACTTTTACTTAAATAATTTTTTTAGGATCTTTTACCTAAGTAATTTTTAGTGTTGTATCGATACTTTTACTTTAGTAATAAATAAATAAACTAAAAGACAAAGGCTTAGTGGAAATAAAGATGGCAGAAAGAAGGCAAAACACACTGGCGGCATGACTTGTATGATGTAAAATTACACTGTTATTTTAATAGATTCTGTATTTTTGATTATTTTTAAATTCTTGAACAATTCTACACAGATTTATTTCAGAAAACTAAGACTACTAAAAAACATTTTTCTCAGTTTTTGTGGCTTAATGTTATGATTACCCATGTTATGATTGTCGATATTAAATAATAATCTGTTGGTTTTGCAATTTACAGATCTGACAAACAAAAAATAAACAGATTTTTAAGTTTCACACCAACTGATTCCATTAACTAGTCGCTCTGTTGATCTCTACATGATCTCCAGCTCCGTGTCCAACAACAACTCTCCATACAATTTTTTGTCCTAGCATTTTTGCTACTGGAAAAAAATAAATAAAACACTTTTGGCATTTTTCGTGCATGGACATCTGTGTTCCCAAGGCAGCTCTTCTCTCCTTTTATAGCAACAGCCTCTTTCCGTATCAGTCTATGTGACTGATCAAATGAAAACTTTCATTTAATTTTACCATGTCTACATGTATCTTAAATCTGACTCTAATCCTAACTTTGCCAAACATTAAGCATCAGTGTAGTTGTCTATATTGAATATAGTGTGATGAAAATAATACTAATCACACTTAAAAAGCACAACTCTGCCACCCAATGATGTAAATTGATAACTGCAGTCTCCTTAAGATGTGAACTCTGGATTTTTTAAAGTCCATCTTTCTTTAGTTAAACTACACTGGGGTGATTAATTATGCTACATAATCACAATAACAGTTACGAGAAAAAAAATGTTCTTTCAGTTGAGTCAAGGGAAGTTACCGCAATGGGATAAGCAGTATTTTATTATGCGAATCCGTCTTGGGATAATCTCGTCACGTGAATGCTTTTGGGTCTTCGGGAGAGTTCAATGCTCCTCTGAAGTCTTAGAATAACCGAAGAAAGCAGAAATCTGATTTGCATTGTTTGTTTTAACTCATTTGTAAGTATTTTCCATATCAAATTTAGCTAATTTGTAGCCCGCAAAAAAAAGCAAACTTTAGGTCTCAAGGGACTTTCTGGGTATATAAATAAATAAAAGATTCATAATACACATCTAAGCTATTAACCATCGACTCATCCAAGCAAAAAATTGGGGTCCGGATTCAATTATGCCATCCTGAACCTAATTAGACAGCGCCTTGCTCATTAACTTTCATTTAAATTGAGCAATAACCACTTCTAATAATTCAAGACCAGAAAAAATAACAATGCACCCCTGGTAGAAAGTGCAGCTGATTAAATGTTACTGGTTTATTTAATTAGCTGTGATTCATGGTGACAAACGGCAAATTAATTACAGCATCTGACTGGCCAACACGACCTATGATGTAGAGTGACTTAATTAGCCCGTTTCTATTAACGCTTCTACTGCGGTTGTGTTGGTGCAGACACAAAACAGCTTCCATACTTTTAACTACCGTAACTCTTCAACCGTTTACGCAATCAATGTAATTCCAATGGATTCTGAAAGCTGAGCCTCTACGACTTCCATGGGTATACAACACATTACGGTAATGTTACGCAAGTCCCTGCCCAAGAACCAGGAAACGATCACACATCCTCGAGGGGCGGAGGAATTGTTTTCGACGCATATTTTCAACTTCTGTCCCTTCTACTGATATAAATAATCCACCATCACCAGCAACAGGCAATGTCAGAGACAAGATCTTGCTGGAGATGCTCCACATCTTCTGGACTTATCCCCAGAAGAACCCCTGGCTATCAATTCAATTCAATTTTATTTATATAGCGCCGAATCACGACAAGAGTCGTCTCAAGGTACGTCACATAATAAACATACCAATTCAGGTCAGTTCAGTAAGCCAATCAGAAATAATGTTTCCTATATAAGGAACCCAGAAAATTGCATCAAGTCACTGACTAGTGTCAGTGTCAGTGACTATATAGCAATCCTCATACAAAGCTAGCATAAAGCGACAGTGGAGAGGAAAACTCCCTTTTAACAGGAAGAAACCTCCAGAGGATCCCGGCTCAGTGTAAGCAGCCATCCTCCACGACTTAAGCATCAGTGTAGTTGTCTATATTGAATATAGTGTGATGAAAATAATACTAATCACACTTAAAAAGCTTCCCCTCATGGATGAAACAGGTACACTCAATGCAAAAACACACTCCCTGGATGTGCAAAGAGTGCAAGAAAGGGTGAAGACCACAGCAGCTAAAAATGCCTGAACATTGACAGACAACATCACCTGAAACTCAGACACTGAAAGTTGTACATGTAAAAAAAATCAATAAAAGGTTGTAATCCATGTTGAGTTACATTTATGCTATTTCAGATGTTTTATTCATGTACATTTGTATTTTCTGTCCATACATTTCTGAAGAAAACTCTAATCCGTTTTTTGGCTTTTCTGTTATTACATTATTGTTTTGGATCATTTCAAACAAAATAACTGCAAAATATTTACAGATATAGAAAGCTAAGCTTGTCCTGATAAGGAGGTAAATGCTTTTGTTCAGATAGGACCTTTTTTGATAGATTCATTCAAAGATAAACATGGCCAGGCGGACTTGAACAATGGCAGTACTACATGGATTAATGCATTTGGCTTAAATATTGGCCAAAAATTAAAAGTAATGCAAGTTTTATATGCTTGAGGTTAGTTGATGAAATAATGGTATAAAGCAGCAACCTAAAGGGAACTTTTATGATTTTTTAAGTGTTTAATGGGTAGCAGCAGTCCGGGTTGCCATTAGGCAGAGCTGCACGGTGGGATGCAGTAAGTGTGTGTGGCAGACAGCCAGGTGCGCTGGAGGTATGGAGCCTCTCTTTCTGACAGAGGACACACCGGTTTTGTCAGATTCAGCACCGACGAGTAAAATACTCGTTTAAACACAGAAAAAAAGGCCAAATTAGAATAATAAACTATCTGAACTTGCTGTAAATGGTCACCTGGATTCTTTAATTACCTGCGATCGCTGCAAAATCCCACAAAAACCAATTAAAGTAATTTAAATCATTATTGTTGACTTGTTTCGTGACTTACCGACAAAACCCGATTAAAACCGAATCAAGGTAGTCCAAATGTCAGCATACTCGGTCCATTATTTGAAGGAGCCGATCGCCTTGGAGAAAGGACGGACAGAGTTTTCGACGAAAAAAAATAAATAAATCAGCGAAATAAAAACTTCACAAGGTCTTTCGGGTCCTCGCGGGACTTCTCGAGGTGAGGGAGAACAGTTATTCCGTCCGCTGGAGGTGGCTTAAGTCCGGTCCCGGGATGAGCGGAGCACCGCCACCACACAACGACACTTTAATTGAGGTTTAAGTTGAAGGTCCGAGGCAAAAAGGGTTGAAAACAACGACCAGACCGAGACAATTCGTTCATGTTTAGCTGTGAAAACATCCGCTGTCAGCACGGTTGCTGTCCTCACGCGCCGCTCCGCGCGCACCGTCCACTTAACCAATCTGAGATGGGTTGGAGCTGCTCAGTCATTTGCATGCAGTAGAGGTGGCTGTCCTCTGTCACTTCCGCCGAACCACACTGTGTTGTTTCCGGTAAGGCCTTTCAAAATAAAAGCATCAGAAACTCGTTCGATTTGAAGATAAAAGAACAAGCTGGCTTTCCCGGCTATCTCTGATATAAGATTCAAAAATATTTTTTTAGAATATATTTAAAATATGCATTCACCAACATCACGTGTTTTTCTTCTGCTAATATTTAAAAATGTGTTTTATTTTAGAAAAATATTCATCGAAGTTCCGGTTTCTCCTGCGAATGTCCGGAGTTTGGTTAAACAGCTGGATAAGTAATTTAGAGCTCCTCCTCTAAGAGGTTCTAGTCAAATGAAGTAAAAAATAATCTAACATTGATAAGCTTCAATTAACCCACTGCTCTAAGCTCTAACCCACAATGCCATACAGCTGGCATAAACAGATAGTGCATCAAAAATAGATTAACAGCCCAACACCAACCAAAGTCCATTATTGATGTGCATCCTTTGAAACACAGTTCACAATAATTTGAGTCTTTCTATCTCAATAAATAAAGGCTGTGTTTATGTAAAATTTATTTCACGCAGAAAAAGTGTGAACCGAGCGGGTTGTGTCCTTGAAAACGACTCTGGTGATGCCAGTTCCAACGGAGTTGTTGCTCAGCCTGACGTCTAACCCCCCTGACGCAGACACTCACAAACCATCATCATGGTTCCAACTGCTGCGCGACAACTTAAAAAAAGCCAAACTGTTTATTTGATTAAGCCTTTGGGAAAACTAACCGATTAATCTGCATGGATTAAACCCACCCCCCACTGGCTGTAATTCTCTACAGCTTGCAGGCTGATCACTTTCAGATAGGTCAAAAACCTAATGTTGCACATGTCTGCTGTTTAAAGCTAAAGAGGGCTTTGTCTGAATATTAGTGTAAATGTCCTCCCATCTGGAACATCAGAGTGGTGCTTGACACTTCCTGGTGACCCCAACCTAGATAGTGTCTCCACAGAGGTGGTCGAAGAAACGATGAGGAAGGCATGAAGGGGGGAAAAATTCAAACAACCTTGAGATCAGGAACTGATCTAAAATGTTTAATATGGAGGTAAAAGAGGTGCAAAAGTTCTAAAAAGGGTGGCAAGTATGTGAAAATGCCCTGTATGTAAATGGGGTCAACAAAATATCTACAAACACTTTAAAACTATTTATTTTGCTATTATTTCTTCAATGAAAAGAAACTCAAAATTTAGAAATACGCAAGAAAACTAATCTTCCCCAAAATGATAAATGGCCCTTATTTTAAATAACACCTTCTAGAATTCTAGATGACCACCCCCATCCTCCCAAAGCGCTTTACAACACAATCAGTCATTAACTCATGCAGGCACACAGTCACACACTGGTTTTGATGACAGCTGCCTTGGGGTGCACTGACAGAAGCTAGGCTGCCATATCCTGGCAAGCCAGACTAAATAAATATATTATTTAGTCTGGCAATGCTCCATTGGCAGCTCTCAGTCATGGGGCGGGTTCTACTGTTGTCTTTCAAACGATCTCCACATGCTATTGGAAAATGAAACAACGTGACGTACTCACCGCAACAGATGTCGGCAAACTAGGCAGTCCGCAGTTGAAAAAGGTGAAATTACACAATTTTTTCTTTAAAAAAAAAAAAGAACCTAAATACATCTATCTGCTCCTTATTCTAATAAAGCCCAAGTCCAAATAGTCCAAAATTGATGTAAAAGCTATTTCAAACGAGCTGTCGCCATCTTGTTTCACTCTGTTGCATCATCCCGCCCACCAGACGAATAGAGGGCCCTGATTGGCCCACAAAGCGGATAAAGCACTGTGATTGGTTCACAAAGCAGATAGACCACTACGAATGGCCATTATGGACCAGTCACAGCCAGGGGCGGCGTTAGACCCGGCTACTTGGGCTGAAGCCCCGGATGTTTTATGAAAAGCCCCGGATCTAAATCGCGGAAGTAACTTGCAGTACCAAAGTCCAACAGAGAGGGAGCAGCTGGCAGTAGTTTGTATACAGCCTACCTGAGCCTCCACCACCGAAGAAGAAGCCCTTCAGCAGCCAGCTTCTTCTACACTCTCTGCCTGAAACGCATGAGTGAAGATGGACATAAGGACATTTTTTAGACAAAAAGTACCACGACAGAACCCCAGCTTTGATGAGACTGGTGTTGACTCAGGTTTGTGAGTCTTATTTTGAAAATGTTTGTTGTGCTGCTGGTTTGCCTAAAGTTAGCTTATCAGGTAAAGTTGTTGGAGAAAGAAAGGGAATATTTTCTATCATCTCACACTAAACACTAACAGGAACAATACTCTGCCCTGAAAATGCTTAATATGTAGCTTCAGATTAAAAATTATGTGGTACAATATATATGATGTTGACTAGTGCGTGTCACGTGTGTGTGTGTGTGTGTGCGCGCGCGTGTGTGTGTTAAGCCCCGGATCTTCTTTAGTCCTAAATCCGCCCCTGGTCACAGTTCTCTATGTGTTTGAAATCCCTCTAGAGAGCTGTGAATGGCCAGCCAGAATGCTGCCGAGGTTGCAATGGAGCATTCCTAGACCAAACATTAGAAAGCAATAATTTGGTCTTGTTCATTAGGCTAGGGCTACCAGTGCTCTGCAATTTCCTGGCCGCAAAATGAATACAGCTTTTCGTGGGCAGTCACAAGCCACGTATACTACTTTTCTATATTCCAAGAAGCATTGGAGTTTCAAGGGGTGGAGCCCCTGCTGAAATGTTACTGGTCCCCTGAAGAGTCCTTTTCTTGTCAATTATGTGTCCATTTTGCAATAATTAAATGAAAGGTGGATGTGATTCCAAGTCTAAACACTAGTGGGGCCAATGAGAAAAATCGAAAGTATTTCTGTAAAAGTCTTTGTGATATATTGTATACGTAGTTAGCCTTCCAATCAAAAGGCATATTTCATCGTTTCGAGGTTAAGAGTTTATGGAGATTGGTACACAATGCTCCAATGGTCTGCTTTAACAAGAAAGGCATCACTGGCACAACTAATGGGGCATTCCAGTAGAAGCTGTTGCTTTTGTGCCAGGGTTACATACAAAGGGGCAAATTAAAGAGGTACATGAGTTGAGGGTAAATTTGAGCATATGAAAGGCAAGGTACAGTTCATGTTCAATAGGACAATGAAGGACCCTTGCGTGGTAACTTCACAAGAGAATCCCAGGAATCCCCTTCCAACTGCCTCATGGGTGCCCTGACTTACAGAATGTAAGTGAATGGGGCTGCAAAGGCGTTTTTCTGGTCCACTTTGCCTTACACACATATTCTGTACTTTAATTTAAATGATAATAATTATGTTTGTTTAAATTTTTTCTGTCATCTAATTTGGGATTTATTAGTGTGTAAAAAGTCGTAATTAAAGTGATTCAAATCAGATGACACCGCAGAATCTCTTCTCCTCCAGCGTAGCTGCTACTTACCACATGACCAGATTTAAGAAGATTTTCTCCATGTTTCATGCAAAGCTCACTAAACAGCCATTCTTCTACTTGTCCTCCTTGTCTGGTTTGATTATGTAAATTCGGTGAGACGAGCAGTTGTAGTCTTATACGTCTTTTCACACAAACTCTAAAGTGACCTTTGCAGCCTGTCCAAAACAAGCTCTTCTTTGGCATAATAATGTGTTTTTAAACTTCATAGACATCATGTTATATCCTTGGCACACATCAAACAGGATCAGAACAGGACTTTCATTGGACCATTGACTACCATTCTTTTTATGGCAAAAATTTTATTCATTCGTGAACGTCACATCATTACCCCCTATAACTGTTCTGTCTTAGCCTGGCAAGCCAGACTAAATAAATATATTATTTAGTCTGGCCACGCTCCATTGACGGCTCTCGGTTGTGGGGCGGGTTCTACCTTTGTCTTTCAAATGATCTCCACATTCCACTGGACAATGAATGTGAGATACTCTTGTTTCACTCTGTTGCATCATCCCACCCACCAGGCAAATGGAGTGCCCTGATTGGCCCACAAAGCGGATAAAGCTCTGTGATTTGTTCACTAAGCAGACAGAGCACTATGATTGGCCCACCATTATGGACCAATCACAGCTCTTTATGTGTTTGAAACCCCTCTAGAGTTGTGATTGGCTAGCCAGAGTCCTGGTAGGAGCTATGGAGGTTCCAATGGAGCATGCCTAGACCAAACTTTGCAAAGCAAGAATTTGGTCTAGTTCACTAGGCTAGTTCAGTCTCGCAGAGGAGCTAATTTGTGTGCATCTGTGAGAAACATTCATAGGCAAAAAAATAAAAAATAAAACGACAGAAAGAACGGCTCCCTCCCAGCCATAACTCGGCTCCCATTGTTCATGTTTATGAGCCGTTCATAAGAATTGGTTCGTTCGCGAACGTCACAACTAGAATGGGTGTGACTTAGACTCCCCATAAGAGCATCATCTGCTCTCTCCCCAAGCACTTCAATGGCTCATTTACTATCTCGCAAGCTCTGGTGACCTTTTTCACCTCCCATCATTCAACCCATAGATCCAAACAATCCAATGATTGGTCCAAACACTTCATTTCAAGTAAGAAATTGAATCACTTTAACCAAATCAAGACCACTCCCTTTTTTCTAGATCCGGGGCATTCAATTCCAGTCCTGGAGGGCTGGTATCCAGCATGTTTTTAAGGGTTTGTGCTCCATCACACTTGACTCAATGGTTGAATCAACTGTGCAGCAGCTCATCAGGCTCTGCCTGTTAATTCCCTGCCGATTCAAATTTAGGTGTGTTGAAACAGGGTTAAGACTAGATTGTGCTGGATACCGGCCCTCCAGGCCTGGAATTGAATACCCATGTTTGAGATTATACACTTAACTTTTATTAGGGTTAGGGTTACCCAGCCATTGAGCTTATGAAGTTTGATGTCACCATACTTTATTGTTAGTAATACTATTACTTTCACATCAAATTATGAGTCTCATTACACCAAATGAACAAAAAATGCAAAAACC